ATACAATGTATCAGTCAAAAGTGGTCACAACTCCTAAAATTGTGTCAAAACTGAAACTCAAATCCATCTAACTCATATAGCTCTGCAGCCAATTGTTCGTGCCTTGTCAATTTACATCTTAGTATAACAATGCTTTCACAATAGATAACTGAAGGCTCAAGACGATAATAACTGAGACCTGCAAGAAGGCATTAAGTAAATGGTTTAAGAGTAAGGCTTAGATTAGTTCATACTTTCAGAGTATTGCATTTCAGTAAGACACTACTCATTGTCAACCATTAATGCACCTTGGAAACCATGGTAAATTCTACCACTGTGTGGATGACTATTAAGTTTCATCAGTACACTTAGCTAATATGGCTAACATTAACCCTATCAAAAATGGAAACTCTGAAAGTCAATTAACACGAGATGCATCTCTACCATACTATAGTGTAATAAAAATACTATTGTAGAAACAAACGATCCAATTTTTTTATCATCACACGAATAAAGTTATAGCTAGAACAAACTTGTATTTACGCGAACAATCACATACCAGCCCTAATGAATCAAATACTGTTAGATTTAAATTGACCCGGATCTTTTCTCTTGTTCACTACATACCTTAACTGACATTGGAGGAGCCAGGAAATCTAGGGGATGGTGGAGAAGAAAAATGATCAGAGGGAGCACTGCACCTGCTATGTGGAGTGGAAAACAGGGAGATGGCATCGCCTGTGAGGATGGCAGCACGAACACTCGAATAGGAGAAAGTAACAACCGATATGTAGTCGTAGCCAGCTTCACTTTGCCAAGGTGGGTCAGCGCCTGATGATTGAGGAGGTGTGCAATCTTCTAGTACCACAACATAGGCCTCCACCTGGGGTTCCCCAAGCAGCACCAAATCAACACCCTCAACATAGCAAACAAGTGTATTGCTACCCGATATGGAGGCCTTGTGCACCACCGCCGATGAGTCCCCAAGATGCCACCCAGAAGCTCCGTCCGAGCGTATGCTCGTGCCGCTGAGGAGCTCGTGGTCAGATCTGAGAGGGGAGAGAGATCAAGCTCAGCTCCAGCGAATGGATCTCAGAGAGGAGGTAGAGATAAGGCACGAGAAGGGAAAGGAGAAGTTGCTTGCTCGTACCTTTAGATCTTGTCATCGCCTTGGGGACTCAGGGTTGTTGCTCTAACCACGAGAGCATCGTCGCGCCCCACCGTGGTGTGGCCATGGCCACACACCGCCCTCCCCTGTAGATCGAGGAGTGCTTCTCTAGCACGGCGAGGCTGAGGGGAGATAAGATATGACAGCGGCTAGGGTTTTGGGCGTGACCCAAGCCGTGTGCGGGCGTGACCGTAAACCAAGCTATCGTGCGGGTGCCGGGTGCGGCCGAGCGGCGAGCGAGGCTCTGGATGGTGGGTTAGTTTCTAAAAAGAAAGAGGGTGTTTTTGCGAAACGTGTAGTGGCCACACGTCAGTTTGCGAAGGAGCCAGCAATGCCTCAAATGCTCTCGTTGCAGCTTTTAACAGCTTTCGATTAACTACGGTAATGCCGCTCCATCCATCGCAGCATGCTCCACTCGCCTAATAAAAAACAAAATTAACTCCTGCACGCGTCGTCCCGCTCCGCTTCGCTCCCGGACACGGCTCGGGCTCCGCTCCTACATGTGACGCTCAACTGCCAGCCCTATTAGATGCGACGCACAACTGTCCTCTCCTGGTTTCGACACGTGACTACCTGCGAGTCGCGTCAGCGCGGCTGTCGGTCCTGCCAGGCGCGTAGCCGCCTAGGAGTCGCGGCGCTCGGTTACCGGTTTTGCCAGGCGCGGCGCGAGGCCACTGCCTCCGACGAACTTCCTATGCCAACGAGTCTCCAATCTCCTAAGCAGTAAGGTGATATTTATGCTGAAACTGCATGTTGCAAGCGTTTGTTTTAAGTGTTTCAAATATTTCAGAGGTATGTTGCAAGTGCTTCATACAGATGTTGCAAAAAGTAGATCGAGATGTTGCACATGTTGCAATGGTTGTACATGCATGCTGTAAGCTCCCGTTCTCAATGTTTCATCTGTTTTTCCGACATATGTTGCAAATGTGTTATTTGGATATTGCATATGTTTTCACACATATGATGCAAATATTTTATCTGGATGTTGCGTATGTTTACAATGGTTTGAAGTGTTTTAGGTGTTTTTGCATGTGTGTTCAGACGCATGTTTCAAATATTTCATTTGTTTTCAGACGTATTTTGCAATTGTTGCATCTGGACGTTTTTAAACTAGATTGAGTCTTGCATCTCCCTCTTCGTCTTTTCTGCTATCTCACCTCGGTGTCAGGCACCGGAAGGCGGAGGCGGTCCCCACTGATGTGGACGGGCCTCTCATGCTTGTGGGCGGGCGCAACAGGAGAGACATGGACGGATAGACGGGAGACAAGGGACGGGGGCGCAGACGTCCGGACGGGGGCTAGCGTCCGAATGTCCGCGCGCAAGCCATGTCCCCTTTCTTTTCCCACACCTTCTGAGAGGACGCCCAGGTCTCCCTCTCCACACGTGTCAGTTTTTCTTATGACAGGAACACACGTGTCAGAAGATATGTGGATGAAGGCCAGTGCCGTGCATGTGGATGTGGCCCAGTGCGCAAGTGCCAGACTCCATTTCATCATGGCCCATAAACCCATGAAGGAGCCCATGTATGTGTAGGCCTGCTGTGGGTCACTCCCCTCCACACTGCGGTGATTGGCTCAGCTAATTCATGGGCCATGACGTGGTCTACGAGAACCATTTACCACAAATCAATCATGCACTCAGATACGTTGCACACCGTTATTCCATTACTACTGCGACAAATACTAGTGTATATATATATGCAGCTTTTTTTTTGGTTTGCAAAAACTATGTATATGCAGCCATAATGATATGAGCACCATATATAAAAGGACAGTAGGTCAAAGGGAGCCATCCGCATTGAGATGCGTCCATGCATCATGCAAACAATCATATCCCTGTCACTGAAGGAAAAAACATGAAAAAACACTAATTATATTGTGTACGGGATACAAAGGGAGCGAGGACAGTTTGGTTGTTTGGGATAGATCGCCATATACCAAGACTGGAGACAAATATGTTGTAACTCGTTGAGCATAGATCATGAATCTAGGTGACATGATACGGATCGAGCACAAGGACAATTTGAGAAATAAAAAGCGGGATGAATGAAGTAAAGTTAGAGAAGGAAAAAAGCGGATTGAAAGAAATGTTTCGTTAGCTCTTTAATATTAGGTTGAGAATTAGAGAATTAGAGAATATACAGCCTGTTCGTTTGGTTGTGGCTTGTCGTAAACGATCGTAAATTTTCAGCCAGAATAATATTTTTCTCTCACATAAACCAACCAGCATACTTCTTCACGAACCAATAACGATACGAACCAGCCAACCGAACAGGCCGTATATTGCCACGTAACTTACGAGCAACAACTATTATGCGGTAACCAACCAACCCAACAAATCCTCACCGTCATTGTTTGAATTATTTGATACATCAACGGATGTCCTCACTCCAATTGCCTTTACAACTTCATTACTTGCATGATCATTACCCCCTTTTATGTTTTCCCTACTGGGACAATGATTATTACACTAATCATTAGTAAGCATGCAAGCTTTCTTTTCTTTTCCTTCTTTTTATGAAAAAAACTACATTTTTTCATCCCCTTTCATATATACTACTTTTGAGAGAAAAAAACAATCTCATCCTTTTTCTCCCTACTATGACACCAGTACGTTGCAGCAGTTCCATATATACAATTCTTCTGCCATGCATGCGCAGCATGACTTGAAAGAGACCGAGGGGGGGCCCACATGTCGGGTGAGTGGGAGGATAGTGGTTAACACACACAGCCTTGTTATGGAAGCGTTAATTAGGCTAGCTAAGCCGTGCCACCCTCCAAGCCTCCAACATCCACCTTTTTATTTTTTTTCCTTTCCCCCGACAAAAGTCCAAGTCTCTAACTCTCTTTTATGTTTAGGTTGCAGAGTCCCTCTCAAGCAACCTACTGCTGGTCCATGATGTGATGATTCTTCTCTTCATTCATTTTATAATCATGCAATCATATATCCTAATCATTTTATCTCAATTTTATTCTGGCGTGTCTGCTTGATTATAGGGATTCTCATGAGGAAAAGACTGTGCTGTCCTTCCAGCAGCTAAGTTTATATACTACAACATTTTCATTTCATTTGATAATTTGGGTTTCACATTCCTTCTAGCTTGTCCTGTTTATCTCAGTTCCCAAGCTAGCCAGGAAACCGATAAAAAGTTATAGAGCCAAAAATGTCCAATCTTATCTGTATTTGGGGTCAACTAGGCAGATTTTCATCTGCACTAATTATGTCTTAAAAAGTCTTTGGTACAACGTACCCTCTACGTTTCTACAGTCCTGTCCATGAACAGCCTGTTTTAGGTACACAGTAGTTAGCTTAGCTTGGCCAACAATGGACAATTGCACCTAATTAAGCTTGCACTGAAAGTGAAATAATCCAGAAAGACAAATGCCTGCTCGTACTTTATTTAGCACCATATATTTTGCATGATGATTAGGTGTTGTACTACTAATAATCTTTTGTCGATCCATCATATAATCATTCCATCTGAATGAACTGAAAAAAGGAGGAGAGATACCCGGGCGAGGTCAGTTTAGTCAATGTACTACTTTGGCATACAGAGGTGTCCACAGCACACCGACTACACACAGCACATTTATGAAAACCCAGGAGAATTTTGATTTCAATTCCCCTGATTGTCTCAGTCAGCAACCACCGCGTACCAGTTCTAGAAAAAGAAATCGCAGCAAACCATCCTGCAGGCTGCCCCTCTTCTCTTCTCGCATTCGTTTTTATACCCTCACCCAACGCAAGGCCATGGCGACCAGCTTGCTGTTAGCACCATTGCAGAGCACCAGAAGCAGAGGGAGGAGGAAGAAGGAGAGCAAGGCGAGGCGGCCGCGGCGGCAGTAGCGGAAGCATGGACTGCTGCATCTGCAGCCCCATGGCGTCCGTGTACAGGCTTCCGAGGAACGCCATCTGTGCTCCCTGCCACGAGGGCGCCAAGGCCATCATCGGATTTCTGAACAAGGCTGATGAGCAGCAGCAAGAAGAGGGCGGCCATGGCTCTGTTCTCAAGTCCAGAGTGTCCATGATGAAGCCTGACAGCGCAACCAAGGTACGTACGTACGATTTTCCCCAATTATTCAGTTCCTTACTGTTTCTGAATACATTCTAGTTGAAAATGCCATTATTAAATACTAATCCTCTTGTCGATTTTTCATACTGCTAGAATTGCACATCTGAATCTTCTGAACCAACACTAGTGTTTGTTGTGATATCATAAGGTGTGCTAGTTGTTCATTCACGTTTGTTTTGCTAGCATATATCATAAGGTGTGCTAGTTGTTCATTATTAATCTCAGGACGACGTTTGCTGCATGCATGCTTCAATAGAATAGAAAGGTTCTGTAAAAAGTGAGCCCCGGACGTTAACGGGTCTTTATAAAGTTGTTAGTTTTAGGCCTTTCAGCAACCGCCTTTTACGCTTGTGTCGTGTTATTAGAACATACGGTTCCGAACTCCCTAAGGTTTTGCTTTGCAGCAAAAATCTCAGAAATGCAGTGCAGAGTGTATTTTCCTTGATCCTCGCTCATTCTCAGCATGTTCAATTTTGGTGCCTTTTCAGTAGAGACGTTCAACTCTTTCCCTAACCCCCTGCCATTTCGATTGGTAGAAAATCCAATATGAAAGCCTGAATAATACCAAGACTACTAACATGTAAATGTAATTAAGGAAATGATTTCTGCCTTACAATCCACGCTCAAAGTGTAAAGTAGTAGCAGACAACAAGATGACACCGAAATCTATCAGAGGTGATTTTTTGCCAAACAAAATTCAGTTCGTTTTCTGAACCAACCCGCAGGGGATGAAGGACGCGTGGGAGCAGTTGAAGGAGATGAGAGGCAGGGAGGAGGAGGCCCACCAGAGAGCTGCCTTCCTCGCGCAGGGCCTGGCGATGGCGTGGAAGGAGGGAGTCCACACCGACATCGTCGTGAAACCGGGCGCTGGGCCCCCAATCCCGGCCCACAAAGCCATCCTGGTAAGTAAGTGGGCTGCATACTGGTTGCGAACAAGTGGGCCTTCATTCCCTGCATGCATTTCAAACGAAGCCCAGCCAGCCCATGAGATAGTTAATCTCACGTCTGATCTGATGCACACGCACGCACGCAGGCCGCGAGGTCGGAGGTGTTCCGCCACATGCTGGCCGCCGACGAGCGCCGCAAAGGCCCCGCCCGGCGACGCCATCTCCTCTCCCCGGAGCGGACCCACGACGAGCTCGCCTCTTCCTCGCCTTCCTCTACACCGCGCTACTGGAGGGGCAGCGGGCGGCGGCGGCTGCCTCCAGGTCCCGGAGGAGCGGCAGCTGCACGCGCTCCTCTTGGCGGCCGACAAGTACGATGTCCCGTTCCTGCGGCGGGCCTGTGAGGCGCGGCTGGCGGCGGCCGTGGACTCCTCCAACGTGCTGCGCACGCTGGAGGTCGCAGAGCTGAGCTCCAGCGCGGCGCTCAGGGAGCGCGCCATGGACATGGTGGTGGAGCACGCCGAGCAGGTGGTGTTGTCGCCCGAGTACGACGACTTCGCCGTCAGGAACGCCGGGCTGTGCGTCGAGATCACCCGGCGCTGCTGCTGGCCAAGATGCCGACTGTAAATATATAGGCGAAAATTGCATTATACAGTTCTTTGGGACACGGTTTGTGTTATTACGAGAGAAACGTCTCCGTTGCAGGTGACCCCTGGACCGTTCGATCTTGATCCAACGAATGATTTGGCTCGTCGCTCTCTTCTTCTTCCTCCCCATTCTTCCTGCTCGCCCGGCGGCGCTCTGCTCCTCGCCCCCACCGCCGCCGCTAGCCTCGCCGCGGCGCGCTAGGGCCGCGAAGCTTAGGCCGAGCCCTAGCGCGCTCGCGGAGGCTGCCTTCATCGGAGCGCCCCTTGCCAGAGCTCTCCCGCCCCGATTTGGCCTGTCTCGCAAAATGGATTTACAGAGGCGGACATTTAATTTACGCAGGTGCTCGCGTTTCCCAGCGTTTGCGGCGGCGGTGGGCCACTCCCCCGGCGCGGGTGGCTGCCCTCGCGGCGGTGGTGGCCTGCTCTCCCTCCACCACCTCTAGATACGGCGGATGCGGCGGGAGAGGGGGCATACGGCGATGGGGATCCGGCGGCGCTTGGCCGCTCCCCTAGCGCGGGTGGCTGCGCTGGCAGCGGCGGTGGCCCACTCTCCCTTCACCACCTCCAGATACGGTGGATGCGGCGGGAGGAGGCGGATACGGCGGTGGGAAGCTGAATCCGACGCCGGGCGGCTGGATCCCTGCTATGCGCGTGGATCCCGGCCTGGCGGCGGCCTCGGGGCGGTGCGATGCCGCCGGGAGGGGCAGGCGAGGTCTTCGAGCTAACAGAGGTCGTGGGGCGGCATATGTCATACACGGCGCGTTCCCCAGCGGCGGATCCAAGGCAGGCGCATCCCCGACTGCCAGATCTAGGGTGGGCGGCGGTGTGTGGATGGGCTTGTCCATGGTTTTTTTTCTTTTTCTTTTTCCTGATTCATTTTCGCAGACGGACATTGTGTCTGCCTGCGAAAACATTGATTTTGACATACGGGCATTATTGCCTACTCTGTAAATGCCGATTAATGCAGACCTTTGCATGCAGGCGGACGGTTTGCCCGTCTGGGAAAACTGTTTTTGCCTGCCTCAGAAAAGAATGCTGTAATAGTGCTCTTCCGTCCACCCCTCCTCTTGGGTCTGCAGCACGGCGCTGCTTCCCCTGCTCACTCGCCCAGGGCCGCCAGCGTCCACAGCGCCGCCGCATGGCCGCACGACGCTGCACCGCCGCTCGCCGCTCGCCGCCCGCTCGCGGTGTGGCCCCACCTGCTCGCTCGAGCTGGACCGAGCTGGAGCAGATGGGCTACAATTCTCCGAAGCAGCGGCGATTCCGCGGACGAAGACTTGCAATGCTGCGCCGCTAGCCCGCCCGCTCGCGGTGGGCCCCCACCCAAGGTTTTGGGATTCAAATCACCAAAAATTTCGGACCTGGCCGAAATGGGCGAATCTCGGAAATTTCAAACTGGGATTCACTTGTTCTGATCAGTCAAAATGTTCAGATTTAGCTAATATTTGACTAAATTTTGGCCACAATTTGATCAATAGGCATGAATATGAAATGGTTGAATTATATTTTGAAAGGTTTGCACTTCTATATTGAAATAATAACTTGTAGGCATGTTTGAACTATATATATTTAACATAAAATTTGAATTTGACTGAATTTTTTTTTGACTGGTATGGTTTTGTTTCGGAGCTCACCGAAATGGGTGAATTTCACCAAAATTCAGTCAATTCGGGCCGAATCCCATAAACTTGCCCCCCACCCGCTCGCGCGAGGTGGACCGAGCTGGAGCAGATGGGCAGCGATTCCCTGCAACGGCGGTGATTCCGTGGACGAAGACTCGAATAGGGACGGCGCTAGCGTAGGTGACAACAGTTGAGGACCACAATTGTTTTTTTCCATACAGTCAATTCGATCTCAAGCAGATGTGATCAATGTTTTCCTAAATGGTAAACGATCTTTACACGGTCGCCATTCGTTTAGCGTTTAGGCTATTTACACGTTGTTTAAACGAAGTTAAACGGTCTAAATGGTTTTGTACTTTTAAAAAAATACATATAATTATATATGTGCATGTAAAAAATCAAGTATTCTAGCATTTATACATATTTATCCGAGTAAAAATCAATTATTTTGGTATGTATATATATTTATGCATGTGAAAAGAACCAAATATATATATTTATGCATGTAACATATCAAGTGTACACATTTATAAATATAATAAACTTAAGCATACAAATTTATCCATACAAAATTGAACTAGATTTACCTCGTGTTCGCCTAAACAGCCGTTTAAACAGCTGTTTAGCCCGTTTAATGCTGTTTATCTCCGTTCCGTTTAGGCCGTTTAGACTGTTTTTCCCGTTTTTTAACCGTTTAAACGGTCAACCGTTTAATTTCTGTTTACCCCCTAAACAAAACATTTTACCACCGTTTATCGTTTACTGGCCGTTTAATCCATTTAGGCGAACACCGGATGTGATGCGATACTGTTAAAATGCCGATACAATTACTTCTTTAGTCATACAACAAACTTTTTATTTAACAAAAAAAATGTTACCATGACTTGAGCTAGTACTCAGTCAATAAAAATAAGCTCTCATCATCCTCAGGGTATACATGTTATTTTACGCTCAAGGCGGAGAATCTACGAGAAATAATCAAGACCGTCAAACACCTAGACAGTAAATTCTTTAGGTCACATCTTACCAGAAAATTATGATTAGATTAAAACCGATTCTCAGATAAGCGGTTCTGTCGGGTTCATAAACCCGGGGTCCCTCGGGGACCGGCTTCCACGCCAGGGCTCGGCCCAGGAGGACGGCCTTTTTTCTCTTCTGGACCGGCCCAAGAGTCTAAATTCAACAGACCGGAGCATTCGCTTCAGGCCCTGGCCGCCTTCGGCCCATCTTTCCGACTGGAGCACTAGCTCAGGCTCAGGCCAACTCCAAACGGCCTCTCCGATCGGAGCGCTAGCGTCAGGCCCCGGCCGCCTTAGCACGGCCTCCACCCAGAAAGCCTGACCCGAGGACCGCCTCCGACTCCGACCCCGTGTCTCCGACCGGGGTTCATAAAAAACCCTGCCCATCGCTATTCTCTGACTGGCGCGCCAGTACCGTTTGGGGACATCCGATCGGGGATGCCCGCTCGGAAAGAACCAGAAGGCGTACTAAGGAAGGCAAGACAGGGCTCGCAGGTCAAACCACGATACCGGGACCATACCCTGCACGTCTGCGGGAACAGTGCTCCTCAACCGCCCTGACACAAACAGTATTGTAGGCGCCGACATTTGTGTCTACAGTATTGTAGGCGCCATTAGACTCCCATACGGCAAAGAGCCCCCCACATACCTCTGGGCATGGGCACCAGGATTCGCCATACCTGGTACCCGTGGTGGGGCTCCTCTCATACCAATAGTATTTTGCAGGTACCGACGTCCTCCCTTCCTGAAGAAGCCAACGCAACCTTCCATGTGCACCTGACATTCCACAGTGATATCAACAGTTTTATGGGCGCCTACCATCGGCTGTCCTCATCGGCGTGGGCAACAAGGCTTAAGTGACATCCGTACTCTCCCCCTCTCACCTGTAAAGCCACCCCCTTCATCTATAAAAGGGGATGCGCTCCCTCCAACAAAGGGGATCGATTTCCTAGAGGTTAACCCAAGTCGACTTCTTCAAATTCAGGTTTAGGGTTGGACACTTCGTTCATAGCATAACTCCTATCGATCTTGGCCCTTCCGACCGGACCGACCGGGCACCCCGTCTCTCTCTCTCCTTCGTTTGTAACCCCACTACAGACTTCGAGCACCTGGGCTCAGGAATAAAGTCACCGACCGACCCACACTGGACGTAGGGCACGTTGCCTGAACCAGTATAAATCCTGTGTCATTGAGTGCTAGGCCACCTCCGGTCACAACGTACAGCAAAACTACAAATATTTATTAGTTGGTCACTTTCTGTACCGACAGTTGGCGCCGTCCGTGGGGAAGACGCTGTACGTTCAAAACTTTCTTGGTAATCGGATGGCCCATTTCTCCGCCACCCCTGCCATGGCGGGTTCGGGCGATACGATTCGCTTCGGCTCGATGGAATTTCCCGCATTCTCGCCCGCCAGGATGCAGGTTCCAACCGTCTTCGAGCCTTCCCAGGCCTTCCGCTACGGAAGCCTGGACTTCGCCGACGACCGACTCGGCGTACTCCACCTCCGTGAGGAGACTTGCGATTCGGCACCCGTCGGAGGCACGTCCTCCATCGACTCTGGGACGCGTGACTCCAATGGCTCGGCATTTGCACTTCACTCCGAGCAAACTCTCTGCTCAAACCTCGCTCCGCCATATGGCCGGTCCCCCTATGGCATCGTGTCTCCCGTGGACGCGTACGCCCGGGGGCTCCAGCGGATGCCGGTGCCGCCCCCTCTCACGTCTGAACTCGTGGGGATGGCGGACTATGGTCCCAGCTGTCTCGATTTCATGGACGACAACATCGGGAGTGACGACTCTAGCATCGGCGACATGGCGCCAAGCCACCGTCCGTCCCGCAAGTGCGCTATGACGGACGCTCTGGAACGGCCGCCAAGGGTAACGGAGTCTGCAAGGACTCATGCCCCTCCGGGCCCTCATGCGGAGACCCTCGAGCTCACGCGCGAGCACGGGGAGGATCTACAACGACAGTGGCCGCATCGGCCACCAACTGCGCCAGCGCGCTCGACGCACCACGCCGCGCCCCGCGCGCATAGACCGGCGAACGGCGCCCGGGGTCACACCCGTCGGGTCTAGCGCAACACCCCAAATAGGGGAACCGATCCCCCGTAGTTCGCTCGGGCCAGCTAGAACATTGCCGTCGTGGCAATGCTCCTGCGCAGCTTGTTCGAGCCGAACGACCCTTGCGAACAGGCGATCCACCGGAACCTCCGGGCACTAGTGGAGACCGCCGCCGTTCAGCAAGCGGAGTGCTCCATATCGCAATGCCGACTTGCGACCTCGCTCCCCGTCCGGGGAATAGGGATGCAGCAGATGGGGCACTACACCCTGTCACTGCA